TTTTTTTTGTTTCGTGGCCAAGCCGAAGGCCGTGACGTGGAGGATAACTAACCCGGTCTGTTGAACAGAATTCTGCCCCGTCATCGAGCACTTCGAAGTGACGACGCGGTTCATGGACAGCCTCGAGATGCTCGAGAGCAGCCTCCGGGATAAGGGACTCAAACCGCAGGCACTCGAGACGATTGGGAACCTGTACAGGAACCAGTTCATCCAGGTGCTACAGCAATGCGTAGACGAGGCCAAGGTGAGGCCGTACTCGAACCGAAGCAACCGACGGGGCGAACCGACGGCCAACGCCAACGCCAACGCCAACGCCAACGCATTCGTACCCGCCGGGGGGAAATTCGCCAGACGACCTGACTCGGGCGTTGAAGTCGAGGCGGACGAAATGGAGGGGTGGCAGGAGGGAAGCATGTCTGCGGTGGGAATCCCTTACCCTGGCCTCGGCGCTGGATGCGGGCCTCTCCGCGACGACGCGGGAAGGGGATGGGAATCTTCGGACACCAGACCCGAGTACGGGACCGGTGCTCGGCGGCTCATGCCGCTGGTATCGGTCGTGGGTGGCGAGACCCGTGCGTCGCCGGATGAGAAGACCGAGACCGCGACCGCGTTGGGGACGCCGATCCAGTCTTTGTCGTCGCATATGATGAGACCAGGAGGGGGCGGAGGGGGCGGAGGGGGCATGAGTCGCAGCGCTTCAGGATTCCTATCCGAGCAGCCACCCGTGTCCGTGTCCGTGGCCATGCCCGAGCAATGGGCCAGGGCGCATGGAGCAGGCTCCGCTGCGCCTGTACCCAGTTCTTCGGCTTCTTCCCCCTTCGATGGAGTCGTCGGTCAACACATCGGATTCGCCCACGGGTCATGGCAGGACCAATATCACGCCCTACAGGCCGGAGGGGGATGGAACGGCGGCGACGTTCTCGTTTGGCCCGCAGGTTCGGGCCAGGAGGGATTGTATGATCCTTCAAAGTTTTGTCCAGTGATGACCAGGTGCCCTGACCCGCGGGGCCAGGGATGAGAAAATAGCATGGCAGGGGTGCAATGATGTGTGTACGCTTACGAGTATACGGAGTGGCTATATGTATTTGTAGAATCCAGTCTGTTTGGAGGGAGAGCTTTTTAGACGACGGATAATTAGAGCTGGACTCTCCCCGTTGCTTATGTAAGTCAAGGTGCGATGATGGGTCTTCCCTTCGGAAAATTTGCTTATTGGCCAATAATCACTGAATACACCCCCACGGCGACCCCACATCGGTGTAGCTCGGTATGACACCATGGGTTACATCCTCCAGCTGGCAATCTCAGTTGACAACCGTAGAGAAATGTTCACTTCCTCGCCCCAGCCCACTTCCATTCCTCCGGACATGTTCGTATGGTCGTTGCGTCGTCAATAATTAATTCAGGTCTTCAACCCGAAAAGGGCCTCATCCAGCGATGCCTCGAACGTCTGTCACATGGTCCACTCTTTACAAGCCTTCTTACAGAGTTGCTGCATCTATGATCTGCATTCTTTCGCGGCAGTTCTGAACTTCTGATTCGAGTCTTCGACTGGGACAGACACAGCCAACTTCCTCACCACCATGGCCAAAACTCCTACCCCGCCAGCCCTGAGACGGCTCTACTTCCTCTGCTTGTACTTTGGAATTGGCGCTTCAGTTTGGGGGTGAGTGGGAGACGATGATGGCACTCGGAGCCATTATCACACACAACCCATCACCCATCTGTCCCCCGTGTTGCCCATGCTTCATGCCTCTCGGCCCAGCCTCCCCTTTTATATTGGTTCATGCTGACCAGTCCTAGCTACCACATCGGCGTCCTCTCGTCTATCCTTGTGCACCCGGGATGGGTCGAGATGCTGGACAACCCCCAGGCTGGCACCAAAGGTATCATCACGGGCATCTACTATCTCGGCACCTTCCTGAGCTATATTTTCCTTTCACATCCCCTGAGTGACTGGATGGGTCGTCGCTTCGCCGCCCTATCCGGCATTGTTATCCTGGTCTTCGGCGCCGTGCTTCAGGCCACTAGCCATGGCTGGTCTGCCCTTGCTACCATGATCTTGGGGAGGTTCATTTCCGGCATGGGTGTTGCCGTCGTTTCCACCTCGGTGCCCCTCTACCAGACGTGAGTGCTCCTGCCTTGGCCCAGTCCTTTTTTTTTTTCTTTTTTTTTTCTTCTTCTTTTCCTTTCCTTTTCTTCTTCTTCTCCTTTCCTCCCCCCTTCCTAACCGTCAAGTATAGGGAGGTCTCGCCCGCCAACAAACGAGGACACTTCGTCACCATGAACCACGTCGGCTTCATCGCGGGATTAGCCCTCGGTCTCTGGTAAGAGAATGCCCAATCATCGACTTGTCTGGATCCGAACCCTCACCCCTGACTGACTGACCAACTCAGGGTCGGCTATCTCATGACGTACTGGACATCCCCGACGGGACACTACTACGGCTGGCGCGTCTCCATTTTCCTAGAGCTCATCCCCGCCTTGCCCTTCGCCGTAGGCCTGCCCTGGATCCCCGAGACGTGAGAAGCCCCCCTCCCCTTGTCTTCTTTCCCCCTTTCTCCGGCCCTCATCTTCGTACTGACTGTCCGCGCGCATGGCAGGCCTCGCTGGCTCGTGGAGAATGGACGCCTGGAACAAGCCAGGGCCACCCTCCGCTGGCTCCGACAAGGCCTCGTCCCGGACGCGGAGGTGGACGACGAGCTAGCCTCCATCGTGAAGAACGTGGACGCTTACTACACCTCGAGCACGTCGTGGCTGTCCCTCTTCCGGGAACCGGCCCTCTTCGCGCGGCTGTGGCGTGCCGCGGCGCTTCAGTTCATGGCGACCATGTGCGGCGCGACGGCGATGAAGTACTACCTCCCTTCCCTCCTCAAGGCGCTGGGCCTCGAGACGCGTCTGGCCCTCATGGCGGGCGCCGTGGAGATGACGCTCAAGATCGGATTCACCGTGCTGGAGATGTTTCTTATTGACCGGTTTGGACGCCGGAAGTGCCTCGTGGCCGGGTGTGTCGTTATGTCTGTTGCTATGATGGTGCGTGGTTGTCGCTTCCCTGTTGCGCCTTTCCTTTCCTTTTCTTTTCTTTTCCTTTTCTTTCCCTTTTCTTTTCCTTTTGCTTTTGCTTTTGCTTTTGCTTTTTCCTGTTTCCTTTCCCCTTTTTCCTGTTTCCTTTCCCCTTTTGTGTTTCCCCCCCCCCCTTTTTTTTTTTTTCTTTTCCTGGGACTCCGGCTAACAGATCATTGGGAGGGACCGGGAACAGATCAATGGTGCGCTGCCCATCGCGTACCCGAATAATTCGAACAAGGCCGCCGACGTGATCTGCATCGCCTTCATCTTCATTTATGCCCTTGGTTATAGCCTGGGTTTCGGGCCGGCGTCGTGGGTGTACAATACAGAGGTGAGACATTCTGCAAGCCTGTCATGTCCCATGGGCACCAGACCTGAGCTGAATTATTTTGTTGCACGCCCAAAATAGATCTTCCCAACAGCCGTGCGAGCCAGGGGTCTCAATTTCGCGGCGTCCGGAGGCTCGGTCGGGTCCATCATTGTATCCCACGTGTGGCCCGTTGGCCGCGCCGCCCTGGGGAGTAAAGTCTACTTTATTTTCATGGTGGTTAACATTATCTGCATCCCGGTATGTGTTCCGCCCTTTTCCGCCCTTCCCCCCCCTTTTTTTTTCTTTTTCTTCTTCTTTTTGTTTCAACAGGAGCCTCTTAAACTAACACAACGAGTCCAAAGATTCTCGTCATCTTCTATCCCGAGACCAAGGGCGTTGCGCTAGAGGATATGGACGAATTATTCGGCAAAGTGAGAGTCGCACATCGAATCGAAGCCGAGCGTGATGGTAAGTATTTCCCTCTCTTCTGTTGTCTTTTTTTTTTCTTTTTTTTCTTTTCTCCGATGATTTCTGTTTCACGACCTTGTTGACACGACGACCAGGAGGACCGGAAGACACAGAACGCCTATTGCAAGACCCCCAGGCGTTGGGGCAAGACATTGAGGAACCGTATCGGGATGCGGCTACAAGGGCATGAGGGAATGATCACACGGGTTTCACTACATTTCGCCCACGGGGGGGCCAGAAAGGTGACTGAGCCATGACCAAGATGATGGGAAGGGGAATGAGTTATGAATAATTCCATGCTGGACCGGGGAGTTGGCTCATAGTTAGTAGGCATGTCTTGGAAGGGGAGGGCTCTCCGCACAACACTAGCAAAGATATCACGCCATCTTAGCATGATGCTGCAGATGTCTTCGGACAGCGGTCGTCACGGCGAAGCTTCTACAAACAAACGGCCGAGATCCAGGCTGTTGCTGCACATTGCTGCACATTTCGAGCCTTTTGTTTGACAAGTGTACTCTGTACAGGGTCTTCAGCTCGCAAACAGAACTCGGGAGGCATCGCCCGGGATTTGAATTGATGTGAGAGACGGACTGGACGGTTGAAGCTCAATGACGACGTGAGAGGTGAGAGGTGAGAGGTGAGACATGAGACACGAAGTGGTTGGAGTGTGATTCGTTATCAGTCTCTCCACTCTTGTACCTGTACGAAGTAAGGTACGGATACACACCCAAGTGAAGTACCCTTACCGACCTTACCCTTACTACCTATACCTTATATATTGCTCTTCAGATTCCTCTTCGCGTGTACTGACAAGTACTCGTGAATAAAGGGAAATGGAAGTTCAGACCTGGCCATTATACCTTACTTACCAAGACATTTCATGGTACAGGTAGGTCGCCTTAGACACCAAGGTAGATGCGGCTGGCTTGCCCTACGCATGAAGTGGAAGTACGAGTACGAACAACGTATAGGGTACAAGTACCCCGTACCAGCCGTTGCCCTCCAGTGTCTTAAACAAAGCGGATACCGTATACCGACCTCGGCTGCACGGTCTACGAACACTTGCTTCATGTATATTTGCACAGTTGGGCTCCCAACATGCCATACTGCCTTCTTTCCCCACTTCCCTCCCCCACCCCCTCTTCTCCACCACCCGAGATAACGATCACGACGGTGGAGAGACGTTGCGCAGTAGCGGTACGTACTTCATGCACACCCAAGGTACCTACGGCGACCCCTCCAGGTTGGTTTTGTTCCATGTTTCTTCCTCTCCCACATCTGTGATCGCCGACATCACCATTCCCGGGTGACGCGGACGACAATAACAAGGCATCTGATTTTCTTCCTAGTCTTTTTCTTCTTTTTTTTTTTTCTTTTCTTCTCCTTCTTCTTCTTTTGCATAGCTTTTGCTTCTCTCGACTTGTCTTCTTTCGCATTCATCATTCATACCTTGTGAGATTGTTTCTCCCGCCATCTCCCGACTCTCCCCTGATCATCGACTTCCCCCCTCTTTCCTTGTCGCATCAGACCAGATCACAGAGAGGCGGTTTCTGTGTCTTCTGAATAGTGAATAGGTAAGTTTTGTCACTGGCGAGTCTCCAGAGTCTCCAGACTTTGGGTTTTGTTTTCCTTCTTCCTTGGCAGGGCCTCGTCATGCCCCCATTCATTCTCCATCTGACGCTTCATGCGCTGTAACCATCCCAGCTTGCCCATCCTCGAATTATTCTACTCTCTGGAGAACATCCACTCCCGATATTACGACATGCCACCCTGTCTCCCTGCCGTCCCCCCCCCCCCAAATCCCTTGTGGGCCCATCCATGGCCCAATCCTACCTCTGCCTTTCACGGTCTTTCTGCATGTCGAATCTTCCAACCCAACCTACCTTCCTATCCTCGTTATCCACTATACCAACCATCTTCATTTTTTATTTTCCTTTACATTTCCCCCTTTCTTTGACAGCTTCCCTCCGAGTCGTTGAAAATTATCGGCCGCATGCCGTCGTTATTCAGTCGCTCGTGAAAATAACCCGGCTAACACGAACTGGAAGGCAGAACCGAAGCCGACCATCAATTCTTTCCGCTGTATCCATTCAACACCATCGACACTACTGCCGACCCGACCCCCCCAACGACAAGCTGTGACTCGACTCATTTGAGAAGAACAGGCAGAAGTTGTTCTAGTCGTATATCGCCGGAGCCTCGAAATCACCCACCTTCGTCCGTTTCCCCCAAAACCCAAACCAAAAACCCGCCCGCATCCCAAACGAACCCAACCCAACCGTCGAGATGCTCACCTGGTGATCTACCGCTCCCGGTACATCCCCTCCAGCAGGAATAATACGGCGCAAATACCTACGCCTCATTATCACCTCGACAAAGAATCAGGAGGTTGACCGTTGCCCCTCACAGCCGTTACTGTTCTCCGCCCAGCCTCTTCTGCTGCGCGCCCCCTTCCGGGCGTCCCGAAAGTTCCCCCATCTTTTATTTCCGACACTCTCATCAATTTCGCCCAATAGCCCCTTGGTTCGGTCTCGACCCGACCAAGCCGCGTCCGATTTTCCTCGACGGTCCGATCCGGTCCTCTGGTTCCCCCGCTTCCTGGCTTCCTTTCCGACGCGATGGGCAGCTCAAACACGAAAGAATCGCGCCCTGAGTATCCTGGTGCCACCCACCATGGCTCTACCTCTACTGCACACGACGCGTCATCCTCCCCGCGCACCGAGTCTTCGGACCGGAGGAACAGACATAGCCGCTTCGGCCGGGCAGAGCTCGGCCTTTTGGGCTTGAGCGCCGCCGGATCCTCGTCCACCACCAGGGAAGATGCCCCTTATGAACGAAAAGAGACGAGGCAGGAACGGGAGGCTAGGCGTCTTGAACGCGAGAGAGTCGCCCGCGAGAAAGAACGTGAGCGGAGTATGCGGGAGGAAAATGTCGATGGTGGCTATCTTGTCACCCTTGGCACGTACACGGGGCCTGAAGATTTCAACAAGCAAATTGTCAGGCAGTTGCAGGTGAGTCTTTTCTCCTCGGGTCTTCCTTAAGCCCTTCCCGATACTAAATCCCATACTAAACAAAACATTGTCTCTCCGCAGATCGAGCGACGAATTGCTCCCTTCTGGAGAGGTTTGAACGACAAGGATGACAGTTGGACCGAATATCAACTGGTCTGCGCCGGCCGTGGTCTCCCTATTCCCGCCGCCGATAAACAACCGCCCGAAGAATTCATTCCTCGACCCAAATCCCCCCAGTCTCCCAACACGTCCTCTCCCAATTTGGCCAATCTCACTGTGCCACTGGGCCCCCGAACCATGTCGACTGGTTCCGACCGCAGTGCCTCCACTGCCAATGCCAGCCCGGCCTTGGGCTCACCCGCCTCGCCCAACCCGCAGAGGCCCAGCTCTCCGTTCAGACCTCGCGCCAAAGCCCTTGCCGCCGCCCTGAGCATGGGGTCCCGGAACAACTCGTCGTCCGACATGACCCCGCGCGAGCTCAACCTGCCGCAGGATCCCTTTGTGAACGGCCAGCCGATCGAGGTGTTTCTTTACAAGGGCGCCATCGAGTGTCCCATCTGTTTCTTGTACTATCCGCCCTACCTGAACCGAACCCGATGCTGCCACCAGCCCATCTGCAGCGAGTGTTTCGTTCAAATCAAACGGGCCGATCCTCATTTCCCCGAACACCATGGCGACGACGCCAGCGCCCAGCCCAACCCCGACGAGCAGCCCCCCGAGATGCTCATTTCCGAACCCGCCCACTGCCCCTACTGCCAGCAGAACGAGTTTGGCGTGACCTACGACCCCCCTCCCTTCCGCCGTGGTCTGGCCTACGCCACACCTCCGCTGAGCTCTCAGCATACCGCCATGTCCTCCCAGAGCTCCCTCGTCTCGACCATGTCGCCCACGCCCGCTTCCGCCGGCGCCGCTCCTGCGCGCAGGGGCCGGGCGCAGAGCCTTTCGGCCAACGCCCCCAACGTCGTCACGACCGACCGCATCCGGCCCGACTGGTCCACCAAGCTCGCCGCCCAGCGGGCTCACCAGGCGCGGAGGGCCGCCGCCGCGACCGCCTTGCACACTGCTGCATTTCTCATCGGCGACGAGAGCAACCGGTCTCGGGGGTTCCCATTTGCCCGACCAGGTCGGTTCAGCCGGAGGAACACCGGCCAAGACGGCGCGTCGGATTCCAATGCCGGAGCGAACAGCACCGGCGCGCTCGATGGCGAGTCTCGTGCAGGGCTTGGTCCAACCGGAGGGCTCTCTAACCGTGTGATGGGTCGAAGGAGTCGGATGGAGGAGTTGGAGGAAATGATGTTCGTGGAAGCCATCCGCCTCTCCCTCGCCGCCGAAGAGGAGCGGAAGCGGAAGGAAGAGAAGGCCGTGAGGAAGGAGGCGAAGAAGAAGGAAAAGGAAGAGCGCAAGGCCGCCAGGAAGGCAGAGAAGCAAGGGAGCTTCTACGGCGGAAGCAGCTCGGCCAGCGGGAGCAGCCTGTCCCTAGGCCTGGGGCGACGTCGCGGCAACAGCGGGGCGAGCAACCTTAGGATGGAGGCGTCCCTGCAGAACGCCCAGGCGGCCCACTCGACAAGCTCTCTGTGCAGGGTCCCCGAAACACCCCCTTCCGCGAGCACGGACACCGGGACGACGTCCACTGCCGCCGCCACGAGCGACAAGGGTAAAGGCGTCGACCGTAGCCCGACCGAAGCCGATACGGGCGAAGGGATTGGGCCCAGCGCGACGACGGGAGGCTCGTCCTCGCTCCCCATTCCGATCATGAGCCGAGTGCCGTCCCATCTCCGGCAAATCAGCAATGCCTCGTCCATCTCGTCGTCTCTTGGTGATAGCGCCGCGGGTAGCTCGTTAAACCAGGATCATCATCATCACCTGGACGCCGACAGCCCCCAGACGAGCGCTACGAGCCCGGGCCAACGGAGTGGTGACGGAGCGGACCACGACTCGTCGGAACCCATGTACAACTTTCGCAGCCTGGCCGAGATCGTCGGCGTCGATATCGAGAGTGGCGAGACGACAGGAAGTCGGCGGTCGACGGAAGGCAAGGCGGACGCCCACCGGAAACCTGAAGTGGAGCATATGGAGGATACAGGAGACGCGATTACGCAGGCGAGCGTGGCGACCCTCAAACCCCCTCCTACGATCCCGGAGGGGGTTGTGCCCGAGGAACAGGGCGCAGCGAGCGGCGACAGAGACGGCGAGGTGACCGACGTGAGGCCGGGCAGCAATGTTACGACTCCTGAGGTCACCATTACGACGGACACGCCGGGCTCGGTCGAGGGAGATGTCAACAAGCGGGAACTGTCGTCGGACAGAGCGGTTGAACAGACCCCCGCGACCACGAATGAGCAGGCCTAAGCTACGGAATGGAAGAATTACAGTCGGAGAATGTCTTTCCTTCTTTCTTTCTTTCCTTTTTTCCCCTTCACTTTCTCTTCTTGTTTTGGTTGATTGGAAAAGCATACATGGCGGGCCCGTCGAGGAAGAACGAATGCCTCTAGCATAGGGGAAATGTGGCGTTTGGGGATATTCACAGGGAGAATACCACCCAGAGAGGATGGACATATGCACTCGCTGTGGACGCTGACTAGACCATACCATACATTTGTTTTGCTTGTCTCTTTTTTCCCTTTTCCCTCTCTCCTTCCCCCCCTATTTAACCCTCCATTCTTTGCTGCCAGTATGGGCACGGGTGTATAGTACTGATCAAGCCTCTTCTCTATCACGGAGCCAAAAGATGAATGCGATTTGTTTTCTTTTTTTTCATTCAAGAAAGGTCATCTATTGTTCGTGTTAAAAGTGCCGCACATTGCCCGCACGTTTCCGCTCCCATGATCTGTACGCCAGGGGAAATAAATGCATGGACCATCAATAAATAAATAAATAAATAAAAAAGGGGGAGAAAGAATCAAATAAAATCCTTAAGCGGCACCGGTGATGACCGGCGCAGGCGTAGGAGGCTCCGCGGATTCCACTGGCGGTTGGTACACGATAGAATCCTGTGCTTCCTCTCCCTCTATCGCCGGCGGCGGGACCACTGCGGCAGCGCTGTCCTCCCCGGCGGGAAAGCCCTCTTGCGGCTGGTCACGATCTTCGGGAAGCACACCGAAAGCTCTCCGCTCGTTGACGAAGCCCGGCGGCGAGCTCTCCCAGCTGTAGTTGTGCCATTCGCCCAGGGCGGGGCGCATCTGGTCGTCGGCCAGGCGGCGCATCTTGTCAGCGCGGGCCAGGACGGCGGCGTCCTCGGGGGAAAGAAATGCAGAGTCGGGGGTGATGGGGTGGTTGTTGTCGTCGTCGTCGTTGTTGTTGTTGTTGTTGTTGTTGCTGTTGTCGCCGCGCAGGTCGAGGTCGCGGATGACGTCTTCCCAGGCGCGGCAGGTTTCTTCCAGCTCGGAAGGCTTCGTTACGCCCATGACGCTGACGCCCACCCTCCTCCGACCGGCTGTCGTTGCCGTTGGTGTTGTTCTCTCGGCAGGGTCCGTAGTAGAAGAACAAGGGAGGGGAGGAGCCGAAGAACCAAACTCGGCGCCGCGACGGGCCCAGGCGGCCATGGCCCACCGCAGCGCCACGTCCTCCAGTTTCTCTCCCTCGGCGGAAGCCAGGTCGGCGAGGTCGCGGCAGGCGATGCGAAGAGGCCGGGGAGCGGGGTGCCAGGTAGCCTGGGGCCCAGCATCGGCGCCGCGGGAGGTAAGGAGGCCCATGGAGAGCATGCTCGCGTTGGTGACGACGGCGACTCGGGCGTCGCGGAAGCGGCGGAGGACGTCGTGGTGGGCGAGGCGGTCGTTTTGGAGGCAGAAGTGCGAGTAGGACTGCACGGCGTCGATGGGTTCGCCCGTCTCGCGGAGGATGAGGTCGGCGAGGTGGGCGAGGACGGGGAGTGGGTAGCCGGAGATGCCGATGTAGCGGACGAGGTTTTCGGAGTCGCGGAGGCGGCGGAGCTCGCGGACGGCGGAGACGACGGCGGTGGCGGGGACGAACTCGACGTCGTGGCAGTGGACGAGGTCGAGGTAGGGGGTTCCTAGCCTGGCGCAGGAACGGCGGACGGAGTGGGCTATGTGGGCGGGGGAGTAGTCGAAGGTGGAGGGGCCGATGCGGCCGGCTTTGGTGATGAGGAAGAGGGATTCGCGGGGCGGGAGGCGGGGTGGCGATGACGGGGATTGTTCGCTGGAGAGGGTGCGTAGGGCGGCGCCGATGAGGCGCTCTGAGGGGCCGTAGTAGGGGGAGGTGTCGATTGCTCTTATTCCGCGGGCGAGGGCATGGCGGAGGATCGGGAGGGAGAGGTCGAGGTCGGGCGAGGGGTGGTATTGGGTGTTGAAGGTTGCGGTGCCTAGGATGAGGGGTGGGATGACGGTCGAGAGAGGTGGTCGGGAGGAGGAGGAGGAGGGGGAGGAGGAGGAGGAAGGGGGAGAAGCAGTCGTTGATGAGGCTGTGGTCGCCATGTCTTGGGCTAGGAAGTCGATGTCAAGGAGGCTAGAGCTATGGTGGAAGCGGCACCGGAGAGAGCACTGAGGGGTAGTGATAGTGAATAGTGATGGATTGGCGAGGTATCACAGGCGGTACGATGAGAGGTGAGGGCTTTGAGCCCGTTGTAGACAAGGCGGGTGTAATACAACGGAGGGTCGAACAACGCGTGTAGTGAGGGGCGACGGAAAAAAAAAAAAGAAAAGAAAAGAAAAGGGCAAATCGCTAATAAGAGCGCAAGATGGCGTATGCTAAAGAAATGGAGACGAGATCGAGGGGCGGGAGTCTATCAGTCTATCAGGGTCCGGACGCTTAATTTAGTTGCGCCGTCTTTGCGCCATTCCCGGGCGGGCCCGAGTGAAAAGAATAATCCATTAAATACATCACGAAATCCCCAGAAACCTCTGGGTGGTGTACTGGAGTCCGCAGCTTTTCTACTCATTAGTCTTTATATACTGTGCTTCATCGGCTCTGTTAGACTCGGAGTTTTAGAATGCAGATGCGTAACATTGAACTATGGCAATGGAAGGGCAGAGAATCAGATCGTGGGGGGTTTGTTTCTTTTTCTTTTTCTCTTCCGCTACCGGGTTTTGAGGCATTATTGGGAACGCTATGAGTTGCGATGCGGGGGAGGTCGCAGTCATGTTAATAAAGAGAGGAAAGGGGCATATTCAAGCTCAAGAGGTCATCCAACAGCTCAAATGTCACGCTATCGCGGAGAATATGCGCATATGTAGTAATGGCAAGGAGGGGGAAAGACGGAAAAGGAGGCTGAGGCCGTGAGGCCAACCGTTCGGATTCAGGGTCCTTATATCTTGTACTATGGGCAGAGTATGAGAGTTGAAAAGGAGACAGGAGACACCCGCCTCTTCTAAGGTCAGGGTGTGGTTCGGCCACTCCCATCGGGTCATAGGTTGAAGACTCCTAGGCCAGCCGAGAGAAAAGAAGAAGAAAAAAGAAAGAAAAGGAGAAGAGAAAA